GCAAATTGCCTAGATATGTCTCAGTTGATAAAAAACAAAGTGAATATACCTCTTCACTTTTTGAAGTACACATAACAGTCGGATTTAAATCCAATGTTTTCGCATTTATTCTATTATGGGCTATGGACAAAATTAAGTTTTTTTTCTTTTCTGATCAAGTATATTGATATAAATTTTCATCGATTGAAAAAAAAGAAATGATAATAGAATTTTTGAAATTTTTTTTAGCTTTAACCGAACCAATTCGATTTTCTGTTCAATATGTTTATATCTTACGACAAATATCTGATGATCATATAACATCATTTCAAATAGCTTATCAAATACCATTAGGTTCAGTACTTGAACCAATTGGTTTAAATCCATTGTCTAACATTAGTTTTGAATTACAAGAATTTTTTAATAAAACAAATCTTTATGAAAATAAAAAATCCTATGAACAAAAACAAGAAAAATTTAATCGATTATCAATTTATTTCGAAGAAATTTTTAATAAAAATACATTAGATCATTTTACATATGGATTTTTTCCTTATGGAAGTTTTCGTCTAGTAAGTTTCATGTTTAAAAAGAACAAAAAAAAGAAAAACAATATAATTTATTTACAAGGGTTTAAATGGAGAAGATCTTGATACTGTATTGATTTTATCGGAACAAAAATCTGCAAATAATAATAAAACAAATCTTGATAAAATATTTCTTCAATTACGATATGATTCCTTAGCATTAAATCAACATATAATTAATTTACTTACAACACAAATCAACAGTGATTTCAATAATGAAATAATTGAGTGTCGAAATATTCAAGCTGTTTATCCAATTATTTCGATTTTATTTCATGATCAAACAAGAGTAGAAATATTTATACAAATAAAAGAAAAATCAACATTAAATGAACAATATCAAGATGATATTGCTCATTTACTTTCAAATTTTTATGAACCTATACATGGAGTAAGAGAATAAAAGGACAAAAATTTGAAGTCTCATCTTTCAAAAAAAAACCAGTTAATTTTTATCAGACAAATCACAATTGAGATAATAGTCCGAGGTCGGATCTTTCATTAACGATATGATTTTTTTGATGGTGCACCGCATTCACGCTATTATCCATTTCTGAAAATAAGTCGCTTGGGCAGAATTCTTATAACTTTTGAAGGGAAAGTCATAGAGAGCTGCGGTTTTCACCGTTGGATAGAGAACATCAGGGCACATACGTCTATATAAAAACCGATGGGT